TCGCCTGCATACCAGCCAGCCTCGAGCCAGCCACTGAGCCTCTGCTTCGAGACCGCATACGGGCACAGGACATGCGAGCGAGCATGTTTAGTTGAGGTCGGTCGGGGTACCAGGGCTCCGACAGGCCAAAACTGAACGGTTCTGGTAGGTTTGGGTCGGGTCGGGTCGGTTCGAGTAAATGCAAATTACTTTCCCTCTTCAATTCCCACCACATATTGCGCCCCCGTCACAGACTTACTTGCTACAACCGCCTACCCACCCCTCTTTTCCGGGTCGCTCGAACCTTCGTGTTCTGGTACCAGGTGCCTCCTCCGATTGGCAGTACGTGCACAGACAGACGAGCCTAATTGGCACGCGCATAATGACGCAAATCTGTAGCTCTTGGACCCCAGTTCAACCAATCACCGCCAGGCCTCCCCAACCTCGACACGAGGAGGTGTGTTCTCCTTCCTGGTCTGCTCTCGCTTCGCTCCTCTTACCTCCCGACGCCCCAATGGCCTCGTTTGCAGCTTCACACTCTTTCTGTCGCGACTCAATTCACCTCCACGAGTTTGCATTGTGATGAGGCCATTTCCAGACTCCCTTTCTTTCCCTCGTCCATCCACCTCAGAACTGTATCCATGTGATGACGCATCCCGACTCCACCGATACCCTCGGCCCCTTGAGTGTGAGGGCGTTATTTTCGTCGAGGAGGGGTCTTGAAAAAGCCTATTTGACGCCGAAATGCATGTAATCGTGCACTTCATCATGGGCGTTACAGAAAATTAGGCAAAAAAACTATTTATAATGAGTAGTCGGCAAACATGTAGTGAGCCGAGCCACGGTCTCATTATCTTACATATTTATGAATGCCACTCTAAATCGTCCAACCGGTATCCGAGATGCCCCTCTGGACTCGGGCATCGACCTACAGCCTCGTGGTTATTTACATTCCATTCGGCTTTGCTCCGCTCCAGGTGCGGAGGCCACTTGGGGATATGGCCGGGGGGACCACGGGTGAGGATGTAGCTGTTCTTAATGCCAGTAATGATTATGCAAAACGGTTAAATCACACGAAATAAATAACAATCAGATGACCGAAGTTGTTCGGGGCTTCACAAAGGTCAGACAATGATCTAAACACCCCTCTCACCCAGCCGACGCAATAACATTGTGAAAGTATATAAAAAAGACAAGTTACGCTTTTGAGGAATAATTGTTCTGCTCACTTCCATCTCGAGTAAAAGTGCATGATTAAGAGACTTTAAGGTGGATCCCACCAGAAGAATATGGTGGATTACTCTTGGTCAGGTGTCGGCTGACTTTACTGGAGCATTCCTTCTGACGCAGTCCCAGAGGCAATCCCAGTCCGTCATATGACAGACATCACATGAGCAGGGAGAAAAAAGTGTTTTGATACATAATGAATGGTTAATAATAAGCCTATACTTCCA